AGGGCCCTCTGGTGTCCCAAGCCAGCTCTTAACCTACGCCACTTGGCAGGCCCTGGGAAGAGAATTTTAGCCGGCAGTTCTGCTCACGTAATGGCAGTCAGTGATGGCTAAGGTTGGAACAATGGGAGACGAGGCAGCTGTGAGATAACCTAGCAGCTCTCTCTCTTCTCATAGTCTCAGGGGCCATGCAGGTGTATTCATGTAATCTCTACAGGGGCTAGTTTGGGCGTCCTCGCAGCGCGGCAGCCTCCTGGCTACAACAGGCAGCTTCCCAAATTGTCCTCAATGCGTTGCACCTCCTGGTATTCATGCCATTGCGTAACCTTTCCTCACACTAAAAAGAACTGACCTGATCCAAGAAGTGACAATGTGTGACTTTCCAGGCTAAACCATAAAGCTACTTGCGGCTTCCATCTTGCTTCCTATTAAATCACACATTCTCAAGGAAGCCAGCCATAGGTAACAGCTATAGTTATAACAGCTTAGAGAATAAAGCCCAGTGTTTCTTTCATTTATTTAAGCTCTGAGTATTTTGGAAGACGGCCGGTGGGGAGCATGTTCAACCTCCGCCGCCGGGAGGCAGCAACGTGTTGGGACAAAGCGCTTGGGGGCAGCGCTCCGGGTCCAACCGGGTGAGGCCATGCCCATACACCTCCCCCTCGGTGGCAGCCGCCGCTGCCGGTTCCCGCACCCGGGTGCCCGCCGTGGCCACGTGAGCGCCGACGTCTGGCACACTGCAAGCACTCGGAGTCCTTGCCTCTCTGCGCCTGCCGTCCTCCCGCCCGGAACACCCTTCCCTCTCCTTTCTCCCACGGGTTCAAGCCATACCTTACCTGCCTCCGGAGGGGAGTGGCCTCCTGGTCTCACTCCGGGATATTGCCAGAATGCTGGAAAAGAAAGGGTGGGAGTGGTGTGGGGATAGGGGGCCAAGCGGAAATCCAGAGACTCAGGGAACCCCTTTCTCATGGTCTCTGCAGCTCTTCCCCCAATTCCTCAGACAAGCCAGCCATGGTGAAGGGTCCACCTCTGCCGAAGGTTCAAGAGAGCCTTGGGGCTCCAAAGATGTCCCCTGCTTCACTTAGCCTTTTTTTTTAATTTAAATTTTTAAAAAATATGGGCCGGCCGAGTGGCGCGATGGTTAAGAACTCGCTTGGGATGCCAGAGGGCCCCGGTTCGGATCCCACATATGAGGGCCAGTGACACTGCCCTCTACAGCTAAGATGCTGAACAACAGCTCCACCTGGAGCTGGGCTGCCATGAGTCGCCGGCGACGGCGTGGGCTGCAGTCCCTGTGGCAGTGGATTGCCATGGGCTACCGTGTGTGGCCAGCAGCCAGCGTGAGCGGCCAGCAGCCGCAGTGAGCGGCCGTCCAGAAGCCGGCGACTGATCTGCCTCGCCAGAGAAGAGCGCAATGATGGTGCCAACTTGGGCCAGTGAAACATCCTCCACAACTAGACTGAAGAACAAAATGACAGCAACTTGTCTGTTCCCCTTTCCCCGATTCCCCAGCACTGTTCCCATCCCCCAATTCCCCAATAAAAAAAAATCTAAAAAATAAATAAATAAAAATAAAAAATCAAGATTTTAAAATATATATATATATATTTAGAGGGCCGGCTGAGTGGCGCGTTGGTTAAGAGCTGGCTTGGGACGCCAGAGGGCCCCGGTTCAGATCCCACATATGAGGGCCAGTGACACTGCCCTCCACAGCTAAGATGCTGAACAACAGCTCAACCTGGAGCTGGGCTGCTGTGAGTCGCCTGCGACGGCGTAGGCTGCAATCCCTGCTGCAGCGGGTTGCCATGGGCTACTGTGTGTAGCCAGCAGCCAGCGTGAGTGGCCAGCAGCTGCAGTGAGCGGCCGTCCAGAAGCCGGCGACTCATCTGCCTCGCCCGAGAAGAGCGCAATGATGGTGCCAACTTGGGCCAGTGAAGCAACATCCTCCACAACTAGACTGAAGAACAAAAAGGACAGCAACTTGTCTGTTCCCCTTCCCCCAATTCCCCAGTGCTGTTTCCATCCCCCAATTCCCCAATAAAAATCTTAAAAAAAAAAATTTAGAAAATACATAACCACAGTAAAGCAAAATGCAATCAGTACAAGTATACACACACAACTCTCCCATCATCTCCTGCTTAGAAAAAGAAAAAGTAATTGTCTTTTCAATGGTTTCTCTGCCTTTGATCTACCAATCCCCACCCTCCAAATCACTACAGCCAAAAGGTTCTAAGGAACAAACCTGACAAGTTAAAACTTTCCAGTGGCTTTTTACTGTTATACCTCAGGGCAAATGCAGACTCTTTTCTCTTCAGGATCTGGCTCTGGTCACCCCATTCAGCCCCTCTTCTTCCCAGTCTCCACATGGCTGCAACCATATCTTCAAATTATCCAGGCTGTTCTCTGTACTGCCATCATGCCTTTTCCACTCAGCTCTCGTGCCTGGCCACGTCCTACTTGCGCAGCACCTGTACCGATGTCCCAGTCCCTATCCAATGCTCCCACAGCCTCCTATGCAGCCCTCATCACAGCTGCTGACACTGAAACTGTCTTCAGGGCAGGGCAGGGTTTATTTATTTGATTCAACACCCAATCTCCTCTCCTGCATAGAGAAGTCTCCCAATCAGTGTTTGTTGCAGGCATGAATGGATGATTAACAACAACAACAATAATACCTAACACTTACATAGTGTTAATTCCACACCTGGCACCCGTTCTAGGCACTTTACGTATATAAAGTCATGTGACCACACAACTCCCCAAGGTTACTGCATTCTTATTTTATCAATACGGAAATTAAAGCATTGAGCTATTTAAAGTAACTTGCCTCCGATAGTTAAGTGTCTGAGCTGTGGTTTGAGCTAGGCAGTCCGGTTTCCGATAAATGAATTAAGAGCTGGAAGGAGAAGGCCAGGACCTCCGGGAAGCAATTCAGGTAAGATTTGGTCTGCGCGCTTTATGCTTTACGTCCAAGGGTCCTCTCCCATTTCACTCCCAGGAAGCCCATCTTATAGACTAGGAGACCAGGGAGCCCACAGATAACTCCAGGAGCCCTGTGGAGGAAGCCGTGGTATTTTATTTGTCAGGAGCGCGGGCATGGCCAGGATGGGCAGGCTCCCGGGTTGCGAGGCCTCTGTTCCGAACTACAACTCCCAGGAGGCACCGGGTGCCTACGGCCCACGCGACGTTACAGCGGCAGAGGGCGAGGTCAGCTCCGCTAGCCGTTAGTCGACTGTTGGGTCGTTACGCGCGGACCCCGGCCCTGGCTCTAGCCCCGCGGTAAGTGGAGCAACCCGCGCAGATCCTGCTCGCCGAGGCCTCGCAGCGCGCGCCCGCAGCCTCCGGCATTGTGCTGGACGCCGGGCTGGCATCTACCATATGGGGGGGATCCGGGCCAAACCAAGTGACCGGCGGAGGGGGGACCCAGACGGGGATTCCCGGGTCACAGCTTCGATGCCGCCGGCCCTTGGGCGCCCAGTGCTATGTGCTGCACGTCTGCCGGCCATGCTTGGGGGAGGGAGCCGGGTCTGAAGGCGCTGTCTAAGGGTCGCCCCGCCTCCGAACGACGGTGCCCAAGACCGGAGGGGGCGGGGGCGAGGTTTTTGGGGCTGGACGGGTCTGAGGATCCCCTCCGCTACAGATCACCACATAGAGCCTCAGATTGAAGAATAGGAGCTCTGGAAAATAAGGTTGTCCAGGTTCGGCTTGTGTGTGTTTGGGAAGGTGATTGAAAGGGTGGGCAGAGATTGCCCAGGTCTGAGGAGACCAGTGCCTACGTGGAGAGATGGTGCGGGTCGCCTGGATTCGATTCTTACAACTTCCTCTTCCCCCGCCCCGGTAGATGGGAGCTGCTCCCTGGGGGCTGAGCTTGTCAGCATCCTCCAACAGCCCTCGCTCCTGAAGTTAGAGAAGAGCCCCTGCCCACCTGCATCCCCCTTGTCCCGTTTTGTGGTCGCCTCCGTCGATCCGGTCCTTAGTCCTAGTGGCCAGCTAGTCCGACAAAGTAGCAGGACGATGATTCTGGCGTCGGTGCTGGGCAGTGTCCCCCGGAGCGGGCCTCCGCTCCGTCCCTTCCTGGGGCCCGCACTCTTGCTCCGGGCCTGCTCCACTTCAGCCACGGACACGCACCACGTGGAGATGGCGCGGGAGCGCTCCAAGACCGTCACCTCTTTTTACAACCAGTCGGCCATCGACGTGGCAGCGGAGAAGGTGCGCAGCTGGGGCAGCGAGGCCCGGGTCCCGAGCTGGAGTGGGTGTCCCGGGAAGGGGTGGAGCTAATGTGGTGGGGCGAGGTTGGAGATCGAGTGCTCAAGCCCCATCTGCCCCTCCAGCCCTCAGTCCGCCTCACTCCGACCATGATGCTCTATTCGGGCCGTTCTCAGGATGGCAGCCACCTTCTGGTAAGATCCCTGTCCCTTGTTTGTCGCTTGATGCCTGGAGCTCTTGCCTAGCCACTTAGGCCCCAGCCCTGCCTTCTCTACTTTTTTCTTTCTAGAAAAGTGCCCGGTATTTGCAGCAAGAGTTGCCAGTGAGGATTGCTCACCGCATCAAGGGCTTCCGCAGCCTTCCTTTCATAATTGGCTGTAACCCCACCATACTGCATGTGGTAAGGTAGCCTCGAGAGGGCCAGGGTTCCCTAGTAGAGGGGACCTTAGATCAGAGTACCCACCACCCAAGGGACAAAAGAGAGATGGGGCCAGAACGGCAGAGATTTGCCAGCCACAAGGTTTCAGGATCATAGAGGACTCAGACCCGGGCTGCTGAGGCCAGAGCTGCATATTCATGGCAGCTGGAAAGGCCACGATGGGGCTTAAACCTAGTGAACTGGAGTGACGGGCAGGCATGGCCAGTTGTCTACCCAGTGCCCACAGCATCCCTGTGATTCCAACACCTCTTCCTTGCAGCATGAGCTGTACATCCGTGCCTTCCAGAAGCTGACAGACTTCCCTCCGGTGAGGGCTGGGCCAGGGCAGGGTGAGGGTCTGAGAGGGGAGGGCTAGACCGTCCATGTTCATGACTCTATGGTCTGCAGATCAAGGACCAGGCGGATGAGGCCCGATACTGCCAGCTGGTACGTCAGCTGCTGGACGACCACAAGGACGTGGTGACCCTCTTAGCTGAGGGCCTGCGTGAGAGCCGGAAGCACATAGAGGTCAGGGGCAACACAGGGGTCTGGCGAGGGGCCTGGCGAGGGCACAGCGTTACTGAGGCCCCATTGTTCACAGGATGAGAAGCTCGTCCGCTACTTCTTGGACAAGACACTGACATCAAGGCTTGGGATCCGCATGTTGGCCACACATCATCTGGCACTGCATGAGGACAAGGTGAGTCACTGGAACCGGAGACCCACCTGGCAAGGTCAAGTGAGGCAGAGGGGACTGAGCCAGGGGCCCCCTTGGGCTAGGAACCTGGGCCAAGGACCTGGGGAGGGGCTTGGGGCCACTTCAACAGTCTGGAGGTTGCAATCATTTGGTAGCCGAGGTGTTGGTAGAGGTGCTACCTGGTCCTGACCACCATTCTCCTGCCAGCCTGACTTTGTCGGCATCATCTGTGCTCGTCTCTCGCCAAAGAAGATTATTGAAAAGTGGGTGGACTTTGCCAGGTGAGGCTGGAACAGCTAAGGGGGGCGGATGTCTTAGGGCAGGGGGCTCTGGGGTCTGAGCCCTTGCCAGAGGCATGGCCTAAGGCAGGGATTCTCAGCTGTGGCACTATGAACGTTTTGGGTAGATAATTCTGTTTTGTCGGAGGCTGTCCTGTGCTTGTTGGGATGTTTAGAAGTATCCCGGGCCTTTACTCACTTGATACCAGTAGTACTTGCCAGGTGTGACAAACAAAAATGTCTTTAGAAATTGCAAAATTTCCCGGAGATGGGGCGTGGGGACCGGCACCTCCAGCTGAGAACCTCTGGTCTAGGTATGAATCCTTGCTACTACCCACAGACGCCTGTGTGAGCACAAGTACGGCAATGCCCCCCGCGTCCGCATCAATGGACATGTGGCTGCCCGATTCCCCTTCATCCCTATGCCACTGGACTACATCCTGCCTGAGCTGCTAAAGAATGCCATGAGGTGAGCCAGCTGGGCATGTTGAAAGGGGCCAGACAGGAACTGGAGTGAGGCTAGAGTACCACCACCCACTGTTGGTCTTTCCCCCCTGCATAGAGCCACGATGGAGAGTCACCTAGACACCCCCTACAACGTCCCGGATGTGGTGATCACCATTGCTAACAACGATATAGATCTTGTCATCAGGTTTGCCAAGTGGGAATTGGGTTGGGGTGGACAGGGGTTCCAGGTCCTGGATTTGACTTGCTCTGTGACCTTGAGCCAGTACCAGCCCCATTCAGACAGGAGCCTGAGATTGCTGTGAGCTGGATAAGGATGGGTCTGGAGCCAGCTGCAGGCCCCAGGGCCCTGTCTTTGTCAGCAACTGAGGGGCTCAGAATAGGGAGAGTGAGGAGTAACCAGTCATAACCAAATGCTGAGAAGGCGTAAGCAGTCAGGAGCCCAGGCAGAGGTGAGGACAGAGAATTGCAGCTTACAAAAAACAAGGCCCGAGGCTCTGGGTAGACCACCTCTCATCTTTGGGTGGAAGGGACAGGATAGCACCGTCTGCTTGGGAGATAATGAGGCCCCCCCCACCAGAGCTGAGCCAAGCCCCTGTCATCGATCTCCTGCCAGGATTTCCGACCGGGGCGGGGGAATTGCCCACAAAAACCTGGAGCGGGTCATGGACTACCACTTCACTACAGCCGAGTCCAGCACCCAGGACCCCCGCATCAACCCACTCTTTGGCCACCTGGACATGCACAGTGGCGGCCAGTCAGGACCCATGCATGGGTGAGACCCCACCCAGCCGGGATGGAGGGGTGGGGGGGCTCCAGGGGACTCAGCCTCTGAAGCCCCTGTCCAATCCCCTGCTCCCCTCAGCTTTGGCTTCGGGCTGCCCACATCACGGGCCTACGCGGAGTACCTGGGTGGTTCTCTTGGGCTGCAGTCCTTGCAGGGCATTGGCACTGACGTCTACCTGCGGCTCCGTCACATCGATGGCCGGGAGGAAAGCTTCCGCATCTGACCTCACAGTCCCTGACTTGCTCACCTGCCAGGCCTGGGCCACACACCCTGCTAGGACCTGGGCCAGGCAGGGTGCCACCCTGCTCCACACGCTGCTGCATCTTGGGTCTTAGGACCACAAACAGATGGACTTCCATGGAGCCGGTGCCAGTTCATCAGGGATTACTGCTTCCCTGCCTCCAGGCCTCAGAGGGGAGGACGTGGGGACCCTGGAGGCCTCCAGCACCAGCTCCATCATTCTTGTTCCTGGGGAACCCCATTTTGACCTGCTGTTTGTTATTAAAGTTCACATTTTTGAATGCCCTCTTGGGCCCTGTATGTGGACAGAGCAGGTGAGCTTTTGTTTCTGACCCCATCAGGTTCCCTGGGCCCTTGGGTTCAGCTAGTTCACACCTAACCACTTAACTGTCCTGACAGCCTGGCAGACTGGGAGTAGAAGTGGCCCTGTGTCTCTCACACATCTGATTTGGTGGGAGTGGAGGTGACTCTGGCATTTTGTGCAGACCTTTCATTCATTTAAAAAAATGTTTCTGGTTCCCACACAGTATTGAAGGCCCACGTTGGCCCAGCTTCAAGGCCTCAGTTCTGACTCTTCCCTTCTTGGCAGTCACAGTTTCTGGAGGTGAAGGTCACCAGACTGGGCAGCCTCCTGAGCCACCTGATTCCTGAGCCCAAGGAAGGTTAAAAATACTGCCTGCCACCTGTGTCTGTGGCTGCCAAGGGAAGGCACACACAAGATTGTGCCCTGGCAGGCCCTGGAGGACAGTGGGGCCCTGGTAGGGAGGGTGAAAGGAAAGTGCTCCACAGGACAGGTGGGCGCCCCCTGCCCATTTTCCCAGAGAAGGAGAAGAACGGGCCTGAGAGCCTGCCTCTTGGAACTGCTGATGGAGGTGGGCGATTGAGGAGGGATAGGAAACCAGTGACTGGCCAGGCTGAAGATCCTGGTGGCTGCAGTGTAGGGGGAGAGGCTGGAGAGGTAGGTGGCAGTCAGAGTGCAGGACCTTGGATGTACAGCCCAGAAGCAGCGGCTTTATCCTGGAGGCAGCAGGGATCCACAGGTGGGTTCTAAGCTAGGAGGGGAGGCTTTGGGTTGGATTCCCTAGAAGTAGATCCTGAAAGGGAGATTTGTGTCCAAGACATTGGTCAAGAAAGTGCTCCTGGAAAGATGTACAGGGAGCAGGAGGCCAGGGAAGGATGTGATCTCAGGCAAAAGTCCAGAGCCAGTAAGTTCTGCCGTATAGTTGGAGGCAAGAGAGCTAAGCTCTGGTCATTGAACTCCACTCGACAATCATTGGTTTGGTTGATACCTGTGTTGGGAGGTGGGGGTGGGGAGGCACTTGAACTCCCCAGGTTGCAAACTGATCCTGGGTGGATAGAATAACAATTTTGAAGATAAGGGTAGAGAGCTGGAGAATGTATTAAATTTTTTCTTGTTTTTTTTTTTGTAGAGGGCAGTGTCACTGGCCCTCACATGTGGGATCCGAACCGGGGCCCTCTGGCATCCCAAGCTTCTTGTTTTTTTTATACTGCCAGACACCTGGCATTCACCACTCCTCTCCCCAAACTCCATTTCCCAAAAGCCAAGTTACCAGCACATCCCCCTGCCATTCCCCACGAATACCTAACTCAGTTCTTGATCTGTAAGCTCTGAGCCCCATTCTCAGGCCCTGAGCATTTCATCACTCCTAGAATTGTTTCTAAGTCCAATAACCAAATCATAAAACAAGGTTCAGAGAGTGGCCAAGGGGAATGTTTACTGAGTACCTACCCTGTCTGGCACTGCAGCACACTTGTATATATACCGGGGGGTGCCAACAAATGTATACGCATGACTTGTATTCACCTTTTGTTATCTATTACAATTTTTATTTTTATTTTTATTGGGGAATCGGGGGAAGAGGAACAGAAGTTGCTGTTGTTTTGTTCTTCAGTCTAGTTGTGGAGGATGTTGCTTCACTGGCCCAAGCTGGCACCATCATTGTGCTCTTCACGGGCGAGGCAGATCAGTCGCTGGCTTCTGGACGGCTGCTCACAGCGTCTGCTGGCCACTCAACGCTGGCTGCTGGCTACACACAGTAGCTTATGGCAGCCCACTGCAGCAGAGACTGCAACCCACTGCGACCCACGGCAGCCCAGCTCCAGGTGGAGCTGTTGTTCAGCATCTTAGCTGTAGAGGGCAGCGTCACTGGCCCTCACATGTAGGGTCTGAACCGGGCCCCTCTGGCATCCTAAGCCAGTTCTTAACCAACGCACCACTCAGCCGGTCCGAGTATTACAATTTTAGTAGTTTTTTCCTTAAGATGTGTATAATTTTTTTGGCACCCTCTGTATATATACTAGTAGGTAAACAACATGGTTTAACCTTGTACAACGTACCCAGAGTAGGGTCAGAACCCAGGATTCCTCACTCACTAAGCCCAAGACGCTCTCCATTGTGTCCACTGCCTTGCGGTAGTTTCTGTTCATGGGGCGTTTGGTTTTGGGGGCCTCTTCCTTTCTTTGGAAAAGCTTGATTCTGGGAACAGTGATTGGCTGTCCCTGGACACACCCGTCCTGCTTCCCCCCGCCCTACCCCCCAACTGTATCCTTTCTCCACCATGAACAAGGCCGTTTCTTCAATCTTCAAAAGAGGGTTGCCAGGTATTAGGCTGGGGGAAGTGGCAGCGCAGGGGTAGGTATTAATTCCAGGCCCACAGACCTAAAAGCCGGTAGGCAAGGAGGCTGCTCTGGCTCCGCCCGCTAAAGTGGGGATAGCGCCCCTTGGAAACCGGCACGTCTTGGCTTCCTCAGGTACCAGGGCCTTTAAAAATAGCTGAGGCATCATAACCGGAAAGTCCCCTTTTCAGCTCTAGGGGGGTGCAGCCATATTTCCATTAGGAAAGGCGCTGCCGGGCAACCAGCATGGTAAACACCGTCGGCCACGCCAGGCCAAACTAACCAATGGACTCCCGCGACGTCACAAGCCCCACCCCCAGGTCCGCTGTGGCCCCGCCCCGAGGAACTGACCCGGAGCCAAAGGCGCTGCGCGGCGCCAGATTCTAACGTCACTTCCACTACAGCGATGGCGGCCCAGGGAGCAGCGGCGGCGGTTGCTGCGGCGATTTCAGGGGTCGCGGGGGAGGGCGAGCCCGGGCCTGGGGAGACTGCGGCGGTCGAAGGGACTGCCCCGTCCCCGGGCCGCGTCTCCCCGCCGACCTCCGCGCGCGGCGAACCGGAAGTCACTGTGGAGATCGGCGAAACGTACCTCTGCCGGCGGCCGGATAGCACTTGGCGTGAGGGCGGAGCCCAGGGCCAGGGGGCGGGGCCCACAAGGCGGGGTCGCAGAAGGGTTCTGTGAGCGGCCGGGAGTCGTGGGGGCGGGGCTTGAGGGGAGGCGAGCGCGGAGTTTCGGGCTGTCCCGGGTCCCGCCTACAAACCCCACAAATCAGGCAATTACCAGATTTTTCCTGTGTATGTAAAACTCCTATCCCACTGTCTTGCCCAACCTTTTGCTTCATTCTCTTTTCTTGTTAACCCTGTTACCTCACTGGTCTCTCCCTGTCTGCGACTCCCCTTCCACCTGTCCCCTACAGCCACCGGTGGAGAGGACTTCCCTGTACACGAAAATGACCTTCCCTTCCCGACTTTCCCTTCTCCTTCCCATGTCACCCCTTTCCTCCCCTCCCCTCCCCGCATCTTCAAAATAAAGCCCAAATTCTGTAGAATGCCATTCATCCTTGTGACCTCCGCTGGTTTCCAACCACCCCTAGCAAAGGTCTTGCCAGACCAGACCACACTATACCCTGTAAAGACTGACTATATGCCTTTTTCCGCCAGTGCCCTCTGCTTAGACTGCCCTCTCTTCCCTTTCTCCTTGCTCACCTGGCTAGCTCCTTCATCCTTTTAACACCATACACCCCTGTGATGCCATTCCGGACTTTCCTTCAGGCAAAGTGAGTCATTCCCTTCTGTATGTTCCTGAAACATTTTTTTCATACCTCAGCCATGGTATATGTCACATTGTTGTCATTGTCTGTCCTCCCCTATCAAAGTGGGACTCCTGGGGAAGGGGGCAGGGGAGGACCTCTTGTGATTCATTGCTGTGTCCTCTAAACCCAGCAGTAGCACAGCTTAGGGCCAGACACGCAGCGGTTTCCCTCATTTATTGAGTGATCTAGTTGTTGGGCACTATACTAAAAGTGGGCATCATTATCCCTATTTTACAGATGAAGAAACTAAGGCTTAGAAAGCCAAAAGAACTTGCAAATAAATATAGTAAAACAAGCATTGGATGTGAAGCCAGGCGTAAACTCAGTTACATATTGGCTCTTACCACTTTTCAAATCTGTGAGCCTGGGTAAGCCTCAGTTTTCTCATCTGTAAAATAAGAATAACTGCCCGAACCTGTTACACCTCACAGGCATTGATTGGATGGAACAGCATGTGGACAGGTGAGGTTCGCTTACCTCTATCTCTGGAATCTAGAAACAGCTCCTCAGTGTGAAGGGTCCCTTTCGTTCCAGCCCTGCCTGCCTGCTGATCGTAGCCTTTCCTTCACAGATTCTGCTGAAGTGATCCAGTCTCGAGTGAATGACCAGGAGGGCCGAGAGGAATTCTATGTACACTATGTGGGCTGTGAGTGACTGGGGGTGTTGGGGCCTGGGTGGGTAGACGGGAAGGGCGGCCCCTCATGGCCCATTCTTACAGTTAACCGGCGGCTGGACGAATGGGTGGACAAGAACCGGCTGGCGCTCACCAAGACGGTAAAGGATGCTGTGCAGAAGAACTCGGAGAAGTACCTGAGCGAGCTGGCCGAGCAGCCCGAGCGCAAGATCACTCGCAACCAGAAGCGCAAGCATGATGAGATCAACCATGTGCAGAAGGTCGGGGCTCCCCCTCCCCAGGGTCCCTGGAGGCTCAGCTACCCCTGCTGGTTCCCCGGGTCCCAGTGCCAAACCCACAGCAGCTCCTTTTCTTAGCTCCTACAGTATGTCAGAGACTTTTCCTACCTGTTTTCATGTACTCCTCACAGATGAGAAAACTGAGGCTCAGAGAAGGCAAGGGCTTGGCTGCAGTCTCAACAAGGAAATGGCACAGCTGGGCCTGAACTTGGGCCTCCTGTACCGATAGCCTGTTTTGTCTCCTGTTGGTTGTGCCACATTAGACAAACTGACTCGAAGTCCAAAGGGAAGGAAGAGAATGAATGATAGTGGACACTTGCTATTGCCAAGCACCACGATGAGTACTGTACACACAGGAGCTCATCACATCCTCCCTAACAATTCCGTACCACAGGGATAATTTTTTTTTTTTTTTGGTAGATGAGGAAGCAGGCTCAGAGAGGTTAGGTAACCTGCCCAAGGTCACACAGCTAGTAAAAGGGTGGGCTGGAATTAGAATAATAATGGCAAACATTTATTGACTTTTGACCCAAGTTTAGGCTAAATATTTTAATATGTTATCTCATTGATGTTTCACAGCTACCCTGTGAGGTAAGCATTATTATCTCCAGTTTACAAAGGAGGTACAGATGGGTTTAGGAACTCAGTCAGGAATTCGATTTGCCAACCAGATTGTCCTACTTCAGGGCACAGATCCTTAACCATGAACTTTGACACATCCTAGAAACTGAGGCCACTGGTATCCAAAACCCGGGTACTTTTCACCAAGCCCGCCTGCCCTGGGAGGTTACCTTCCTTCCACTCCAGCCTCAGTTTCTTGATATGTAAAATGGGGGTGCAAAGGAGAACTGGGTTTATTGAGCTCTGAAGGCATAGACATTCGTTAGTTTCAACCAGTGGGATTTCATCCTTCTGGGTACCCAGAGCTTTCGGCAGTGTTTTTCAAACCGTGGGGCACAGGTGTTAATATATTAAAAAATTAGTTCAGTGGGTTGTGACCAGCAATTAAATTTTTAAAATAGAAGAAAGAAATAGGAGAAAATAGAAAACATCAGAATACCTTGCACTTTATTAAAGGTAAGTATTTGAGAAACTTTTATTTCATACAAACACACACCAACATCAACTAATGTACAGTGCTTAACTGCATCTCCAACTGGGTTCTGATAAAAAAAAATTTTTTTTGAAACACCCTGAACTAGAAAGAGCCCTCAAGGTCCAGTTGAACTTCATGTGATAAATAGAAACGTTCCGTATCTGCTGTCCAGTGCAGTAGCCACCAGTCGCCTGTGGCTGTTGAGAACTTGAAATGTGTTTAGTGTGACTAAGAATTCAGTTTTCTTTAAATTGAGTGAATTCAAATTTAAGTAGCTATAGGTGGGTATGGGCTCCTCTATCAGATAGCACAGGCTCTCAGCCAGTTTCCACTGGCCAGTTATGTCCCAAAGATGTGCCTCGGAGCTGGCCATTGACCTGGTGGGGGGCAGTGGGCCAGTGGCAATAAAATCAAAGAATGGATAATCGTCAAGCTAACAGCAAGTTTCTTCAGAACCCAATTAATGTTTAATTCTAAATAAATTGCAGCATTTACGAAAAGTAGTAGTGTTTTTGTAGTTCTTTAATGTATTTGTTTGAAGAGGATTGTTTTGTGAGCAATGGGAAATGTGTTTGAAGGAGGTTTATGAGGAAAGTCTTCCCTCGTCTTTGTCGGCGTTAGGCTTGGAGTTGGACAGATCAGGAACCAATGCCCAGCTGTGCTGAGTACCAGTTCTGTGACCTGGGACAAGTGACCTTCCCTCTTTGTGCCTCAGTTTCCTCTTGTGCAGCATGGATAATGAGCACTCTGGTCTTGGGCTTATTGTGAGGACTACATGAAATAATGCCTGTGGGGTGCTTGGCACTTGGAATAAATGGCAGCTAGCCTGTCCCCAAGGGCAAGTGACGTCATCTCCCTGCCTGTTTACTTCTCTGTAAAATGGAAAGAAGAGGACTGTATATGAGGGTTGCTGAAAGGGTTAAATGAGGCCACAGAGCAAAGTGCTTTGTGGAAGGGGATTCTGGGTAAAACGCTGGCTCCTTTCTTCCATGTCAGCTCTAGGGCAAGGCTGCTGTTTGCTCTGGGGTGGGTCCTAGGCCTTCTGGGGCCCCCAGCCCATTGTCAGGCTGTACTGGGTCCCTCCTCAGAGTCTGGCCTGGGAACAGGCTGTGCTGTGAGTGTGACGTGGCTCTTTCGTTCCTGCTCTAAGGACTTGGAAAATAGGGGAAACCAAGTGGGGGCAGGTGGAGATTATTGTCGTTGACCCCATATTCCTCACTTGGGAAGGAGAGGATGTGCTCTGCTTCCAGTCAGGCCTCCTGGGGGGAGGAAGGGAGCTGGGCCCTAAGGGACAGGAAAGGAAAAATGATTACAAGCCATAGCTCGCTGCGCACTCACCTGGCTGACGCTCTGGAGTGGGCTGAAAAGCAATTTTCTGGCGGCAATAGGATAGGGAAGGGCATTCAAGGTGGAAGGAACTGCATGTACGGGGCACGGAGGCTGGAAGTGGAGTTGGCAGCAGGGGAGACCGGAAGGGGCTGAGGCTGGAGGCTGGGAATCTAAGGAGGCCCCGTCAACTGTCCAGACCTGAGGTAGTGGCATTTGGAATGGGACAGAGGATTCCAGGGAAGCACTGGTTCCAGAGAGTTAAAAAAGGTAGAGTTGAAAGGATTTGGCCGTTAATTAGATGCTAGGCTGAGAGGGAAGAGTCTTAAGAGCAGGCCCATAATTGTTCTTGGGCGGTTGGACAGGGGTGATGCGCCCAGTGAAATGGGGACCCCAGGAGGAGGAAGAGGTTTGCAGGGAGGAAGGGCTGAGTTCCCTTGGGAGCCTTGAGTCTGATGTGAAAGGACCTCTGGGAGCTGTCCCCTAGGCAGGCAGCTCCTCGGTGATCAGGCAAATTGGGAGGCAGTTTCTGCGATGGGCATGGAAGACCAGACCTGTTATTTCATCTCACAACAATTTTGGCCGAGCTGGACTGATCCATTGTAAAGCTGAGGCTCTCACCACCCCAAGGATGACAGCAGGCCTCCTCACCCTTGCCCTGGACATCTGGTGGAAGGTGCCTGCTCAGGCATCAGGGAGTCTGGGCTGTGTTTGTAGATAGGCAGGCAGGAGAGGAGCGCAGAACAGCCAGCGTCAGAACCAGGTGAAACAAGTTAGCTGCTCACGTGATTGCTGTCATTTGTGGGAGAGGTCTACACGACGGAGGAAGGGAAGCTGGGGGGGTCCTGGGATAGGCAGACAGCCCGCCTACCACCGGTGCTCACCCCTGTGTCGGCTCTTTCCTTGCCCAGACCTATGCAGAGATGGACCCCACGACTGCGGCCTTGGAGAAGGAGCATGAGGCGGTAAGCGGGGGGTTCCTGATGCAGCATGCCCCTCCCCTCCCTGCTTCTCTTGCTCCCACTCTCCCACTGAGCTGTCCACTGCCCTGCACAGATCACCAAGGTGAAGTACGTGGACAAGATCCACATCGGGAACTATGAAATCGATGCCTGGTACTTCTCACCATTCCCGGAAGATTATGGCAAGCAGCCGAAGCTCTGGCTGTGCGAGTACTGCCTCAAGTACATGAAGTACGAGAAGAGCTACCGCTTCCACCTGGTGAGGCCACATGTTGGGGCACTGGGGCATGGGGGCAGCAGCCCTGAGGACAGGTGGGCCTGCGGCATGGCATCTGGGGAAAAGCTGCCTGTGGGCCAGGAGACCAGGGCTTGGCCTGGCTCTGCCTCTGCTGCAGTGACCTTAGCCAGACCGCAGTTTTCTCTTCTGTGGCATGAGGACAGTAACCTTGCCCTCCCCGCACCTCGGGCCCCTTGCCCTTGACCACAGCTCATCAAGGCCAGCTCGGTGCCAAAGCAGAAACCAGCACAGCCCCAAGCACAGGCCCGGAGGGTGTGGGCAGGTGGAGGCCTTGGCACATGGGCCGTTGCCCTGGCTGCTTCTCCAAGGCGGGTCCAAGGCAAATGCAGGCATTTTAGGAAACACCATTGTCATGGATCCCAGCCCGGCCGAGTCCTCTAGAGCCCAGACTTGAAACAACCTAGCTGTATGATGTGCGAGCCACTCCCCAGCCCCTCTGTGCTTTGCTCTCCACCTGTAAAACACCCTGCCTCCTCAGGTGGTTGGGAGGTGAAGGGTTGAACCGAGGGTCTGCAGATGGGGACGCTCAGAGAAGCAGCCCCATGAGACAGGGCACCTGGCAGAGAACCTCAGCGTCCCAGCCTCGGCCTCCTCATTCTCCCCCGCCTCCCCCTCAGGGCCAGTGTCAGTGGCGGCAGCCCCCGGGGAAGGAGATCTATCGCAAGAGCAACATCTCTGTGTACGAGGTGGATGGCAAAGACCACAAGGTGAGCCAGGTGACTGACGGAGGGGACGGGGCCCCTCCCGGGTGACCTTCGCCACCAGCAAAAGACAGAGGCCACCTTAGCAGGAGCCCCGCAGGCACAGGCATGCAGGATCATGCTCAGCCTGGCACTTGGCCCGGGCTGGCGCACAGTGAGCACGTGGCCTGCGGTGCCAGCCCTAGGGACGGGCTCCGTTCTTTCCCTGAGGACTTCTCTCCTGATGGGGCAGCTTAGGTTGGGGTGGTTCTGGAACCCAGAGTGGAGGTTGTCGTGCCTGCGGTTGCTTCTAGAACCGCTGTTTCCTTCTGCCTGAAGAAAAGGTGTTTGTTTTTCCCTGGGAGGAAACTGCTTTGTGTAAGATTTCCTGCCTGCCAGCCCTGCACCTCTGATGGCTCAGTTCCTTGTTCTCGAACAAGGGACTTCATGGGGCCGGGTGGGGCCTGTGGGACCTGCCTTGCTGTCACTGAGAACGTGGCCTGTGCTTGGTCAGTCAGGAAGGTCTCATCAAATGTCTCCGGTTCCCATGGAAGGGCCATGGGGTAAGATGAAGAGGGCAGGCTTCTCGGGGCTCCTGGTTTCACATCAGCCTGTCACTTCCTGGTTGACCTTGGACAAGTCACTTAACCTGTGTTCCAGTTTCCTCATCGTAAGACAGGAGTCAGTATTTATCTCAGAGGGTTGTTAGTGGGATAACTGTGACTGCAGTGACGTCCTTAGCACAACGCCTGGCAGCCCGTCAGCGTTGCTGGTGGCACCGCCTTGTCATTGGTGCCCTGTTTTGGGGCACAGGCAGCCCTGTGAGAAGCAGCTTGGGGACTGTCCACCGGGCCTGGGCCTTCCCCACTGCTCTGCCTTCCTCAGCACCAGCAGGCAGTGGCAGAAGGAGCTCCAGCAGGTGACATGGGTGTTCTTTCCAGCTCTGCCCTTTGCTAGCCTTGAGGTCTCAGGCACGCACTTCCCTGCCCAGAGCCTCAGTTTCCTCCTACGTAAATGAGAGGAGCTACACTGGCCTGACACACTTGTTGGGTCAAATGAGAGTGGATACAAAAGGTGTCATACACCAGAGGGACCCTTGATCGGTGCCAGGAAGTCAACCCCAAGGTCCCATTGTTCCTGTCAATGTTGGTGTCTGGCCTGGGTGGATGTCTGGGCAGCTGGGTGGCTGGTGAGAGTCGGCAGAAGAGTGGCCAGGCAGGCAGACCACTCAGGCTTCAGAGTCGGGCTCAAGGCTCGTCCATTCAGCAAACATTGACCAAATGCCCAGCCCCTCACTTAGCCAGCCCTGTGCCAGGTGCTGGGAACACAGCCTTGAACAAACCACTTGGGTTGCACTGGGCATGTCCCCACACACACGTAGACCCCGCGCTGCTGTTCTGGCATGGAGGCTGCTGCTCTCAGGCCTGGCCCTCGCAGAGCCGGCGGGCAGCTGTGGCCCAGGCCGCGGTGGGCTCCTTGTCCTTGTGTCCTGAGCCTGCGCCCTACTCCCCTACCCCTCAGATTTACTGTCAGAACCTGTGTCTGCTGGCCAAGCTCTTCCTGGACCACAAGACACTGTACTTCGACGTGGAGCCCTTCGTCTTCTACATTCTGACCGAGGTGGATCGGCAGGGGGCCCACATCGTCGGCTACTTCTCCAAGGTGCGGCTTGGGGTGCCCAGGGTGAGGGAGGGTGGGGTGTGTGAGCTGCAGGGGGGCCTGACCTCCCGCCCCGCAGGAGAAAGAGTCTCCAGACGGGAACAACGTGGCCTGCATCCTCACCTTGCCCCCCTACCAGCGCCGTGGCTACGGGAAGTTCCTCATTGCTTTCAGTGAGTGGCTCCTGGCTTCCCAGGGGGTACTGTGGGGGGCAGAGTGCCTGGGCAGAGCCGGGTTTCCAGGACCATCTTTCTCCCACTGCCAGGTTATGAGCTATCCAAGCTGGAAAGCACAGTTGGCTCCCCTGAGAAGCCACTGTCTGACCTGGGCAAGCTCAGCTACCGCAGCTACTGGTCTTGGGTCCTGCTGGAGATTCTGCGAGATTTCCGCGGCACGTTGTCCATCAAGGACCTCAGGTGAGGGCCCTGGTCCCAGCCCTGTCTATCCAGGACCTTGTGAGGCAAGCTTCCTGGAATCCTCACAAAGGGGAGGGCTCCCCCGGGATTGGCCAGGACCCAATCTCCTCGTCCCCTCTTGATGGCCCAGCCAGCCCACTAAGGAGCCCTCTAGTGCCTGCTCCACTCCCTTCCTGCAGCCAGATGACCAGCATCACCCAGAACGACATTATCAGCACTCTCCAGTCCCTCAACATGGTCAAGTACTGGAAAGGCCAGCACGTCATTTGTGTCACGCCCAAGCTGGTGGAGGAACACCTCAAAAGTGCCCAGTATAAGAAACCACCCATAACAGGTAGGTGGGGGGCTGCCCAGGGGGTGGGGGCTGGCGGTGGGGGTAAGGACTCTTGGGAACCCAGGCCTCCTTTTTGCTGTCACATGGTCCCAAACCAGTCTGACCAGCTCCCAGCTTCAAAGCCTGGGGCAGGCTACTCATGCCTGGGCTTCCCCGCCCCCTCCCAGGAATCAGTCTGCCCTTGTTCTCACCTGGAGGTGAAACCTGGCGTGGGCCCAGGGGCCAGCCCTCCTCTATCACACCTCTTCTCCCCACAGTGGACTCTCTCTGCCTCAAGTGGGCGCCCCCCAAGCACAAGCAAGTCAAACTCTCCAAGAAGTGATGGCCTGGGGCCTGCCAGACCGGTGCCTCCTTCCCCCAGCCTGTAAATATGTACAGACCTGTTCCATCCTTTTTTTAATAAAATTCTGCTGGTGGCTCTGGGCTTCCAAGATGAGAGGAGAGGCCAAGAGCTGACGGTCTTCGTGGCACGTCACACACACACAGCCAGTTCTGCTTAGAACATTTTACTCCTTCGTGCTCCGTGCACCCCTCACCCCAGATCCAAGCCCACGCCCCGTCCCGGTGGGGGCTCAGTCCTCCGGAGTCCAGGAGTCTGGGCTCAAGGGGGGCCTGGCAGCCGATGCGGCAAGATGGGGGCCTTTTCTGTCCTCGCAAACATGCAGCCCAGAGTCGACCCGAGCCCAGAAGATGAGGAGTGTGGAGTGATGGGGCTCTTCAGGCAGAGTGGGGCATGGAGCCAGCCCCGGCAGCAGTCAGCTGGGCAGCTGCCCAGTCAAGACATAGGAGCCAGGGCCCATTCCATAGCTAAGGGTCTTGGGGGGGCTCCACAGGAGCGCAGCCAATGGGCTGTGGATAGCAGGTGGCCAGAGCTTGCTGCCAGTACCACAGGCAGTAAAACCTGACTGGGCTGTAGTCCCAAAGCACAAACCCCGGAGAGTGGGCTCAGGGGTCCAGGTTGGGGCCCTGGACTCCACGGGGTCCTGGGAGGAAGGAGTGACTCGAGCCAGGCCCCAGGCCCAGAGTGTCACGGAGGAGCCAGGTCCATTCCTGGGGACAGGCAGGCGTCTATCCTTGGCTGTGGCATGGCAGTCCCTACGGCAGGGTCAGCTCACAGAGAGCAGCTCAGAGCCCCCTCCATGCGTGGAGGAGGCCCAGGGTTAGGGCCAGTGGCAGCAGAAGGATGGGCCCCAGCAGTCCCCGGGCTGGGGCAGAGCTTAGGGCCAGATGGCTGCGGCAGAGGTGGATATCAGGCTGGGACTCCTGGGTCTGGGGCACCACACGGGGCTCGAGCTCTGCCACGTGGTAGTGAATCCAGGAGGCATAGCTGGAAGTCAGAGTGTACACGCCAGGCCTGTTGGGTGCCCCACAGGCATCACCCCAGCTCACAATGCCTGCCAGGTACCAGAGGCCCCCAACAGGGCAGGACAGTGGTCCCCCAGAGTCACCCTGAGGAGAAAAGCCATACAACAGCTGTCAGGACTGGCCCTAGGCTCTGGTCACCTGTGCCAGCCCTCGTTTCTCAGGGTGCACTTGTCTTGTCTCATCTGTTCCCTGGGCCCCTGTACTTACCTGGCAGGCATCCTTGCCCCCCTTCACATAGCCGGCACACACCATGTCCTGCTGGATGGAGTGGGGCTCACTGGGCTTGGCATCGATATTGTACAGGCAGTTACACGTCTCCCGACTGATGAGTGGCACCTCGAGTTGCTGTAGTGGCCTGGGCGCCTGGAGGCTCACTGTGGGGGCAACGGGCTCAGCCGGGGCCGACTCTGAGTCAGGCTCCCTCCACGCCGCCAACCATCCACGCTACCTCACCTGAGGGGGCCACGTGGCCCCATCCAGTGACAGTGCACTGGAGGCCGTTGGGGAAGGAGGCATTGGCCGCGGGTAGGCAGATGGGCCGGATGTATCGGGAGAAGGTGACGGGGTTGCTGAGCTGCAGGAGCGCAATATCGCCCTGGGAGCCCTCCTGTTGGTAGCTGATGTGGACAAGGACCTGTGCCACGCTGCGAGCCTCTGCCTTGGGGACGAAGGAGTCCAGCTGGTGGGCCCCCAGCCTCACCTCGTACATATCCTTGTGGTGCTCCCTGCAAGCAGGTGCAAGGGCTGGGACCCGGGACCCCTGTGCTGCTTCCCCGACACCTGCTGCTAGGCACCCAGCCCAGATTCTGATCCCCGGCAAAGGACCATTCAGGCCCCAGACATGTCCTCATGTTATCCTGAGACCTGTGTCCTCTGGCCATCATCTCTCACAGGTCCTTTCAGACTACTGATACCGCTAGACCCTACCCAGGAACCCCAACCTCCAACTTAAACTGACCCCTGAACTTTGGCCCCCAGCCCACGTCCGCACCCAGCCCCCCACTCAGCTGGTACCTGGGGAAGCAGTGAGCAGCTGACAGTACCCACTTCTTAGACACGAGAGAACCGCCACACACGTGGGTGCCATCATAGACGATGCTGACCTGCCAGGGCCACTGGCCAGGGACTGCACTGCTGCCACCGGTGACGCGGGCTTGGGAGGCCACACCGCATAAGGCTGCCCAGGGAGGAAGGGAATGGGTTAGGCCCTCCTGGGGCCCTCACAGCAGGTCCTTGGCCTTGCCACTCCTGACAAAGCCCAGATCTGGTGTGGACCTCGGGAGGTGAAGTCACAAGAGCCAGTCGCCCTGTGTTCCCATCCCAGCTTACCAGGTATCAGCTTTGCCACCGTGACATCCTTGCCCCATCATTACCCAGCCCTCACAACCTCCTTCCTCTCAGGCCTTTCTGCCTCCCAGCCCATCTACCCCTTAGGAGTCTGAAGGTCGTTATAAACAAGAAACCTGACCAGGTCACACCCCTACTTAAATCCTTTCCTGGTTCCACACTCCACACCTTCTGTGCCACTGCCATCCACTCCAGCTGTCCCCCTGGACACTTCCAGTCCCAGGCTTGGGGCCACACACTTGTTCGCTTCTAGATGTTGGCTTATCCAGGTCACTCTGCGTAGAATTCTTTTCCTCATCCCTACTTTGTCCAGCAAACTTTGATTTGCCTTTGGAGACTGTTCAAACGGCAGCCCCTCCTTAGCCTGCCCTGACCTGCGGAGTTGGGTGATGCCCGGGAGCTCCCAGGGCCTGTGCTGCTCTGACACTGCCAGATCCCATGACTGTTCTGTGGCGGCTTCAGCCACACCAACCGGGGCACCCCCTAGGGGCAGGCCACCAGGGCAGAACCCAGGTCCCCAGCGCCCAGCCAGGGCTGGGCACACAGATGGAGTGGTGGCTGTGTGCTGAACAAGGGGACAGAACAGCTGGCCCCTGCCCCAGCCCACAGGGGCCAGCTGTTTGGCACGGGACCCAAGTGCCCTTCAACTGCCCTTCTCACCTCCCCAGGAGCAGAGAAAACTGCCCAGCCAGGTTCCTACTCCTTCCCTCACCATAATGACAATAGCTACAGTTTAGTGACCACTCAAGGCCCTGAAGGGGCTTTCACTCCCTTAGGGTCTGGACTCCTCACACAGCCCCCCCAAGGGACAGACACAATCAACTTCATTTCAGAGGGGAGGGGACTGGCCGGGCACACAGCCAGGGAGTGGTGAAGCCAGGGTTGAAAGCCCAACGACGCGGAGTGGGGGTGTGCCTTTGAACAAAGGAGACCCTTGGTTTGTTCCTCTCAAAAAGGCCCACCTTTGGGTTCCAATCCCAGCTCTGCCACTTCCTGGCTGTGTGCGTTTGGGCACACATGTCTCTGCACCTTAGTTATCGGTGAAGCGGGGCTCCAATCCCCGTCTCACAGAGCTACTGGGTGGACTTCGTTAAGACACTAACGGGTGGGTTATTCTGGCAGAGAGAGGGTCAGGCACCCATTAATTACACCATGGAAATCGGAATCCATGTCCCTCCTCTTCCCCTCCCCCGCTTCCCCCTTCTCCCTCTGCAAGCCTCACCTTCTGCCTCGGCCCCCTCAGCTCCTGGAGGACAAGAGAAAGAGGGAGGGGTAAGCAGGAAAGACCCAAGTTCCTAGGCCCCTTAGCACCTGCCACTTCTCCGGAAACCTGTCCCCTGTCCCCCCGCCCCCCGCCCTCCTGCCCAGGAGGAAAAAGCTGAAGGGAGAGGAAGAAGCAAGAGTTAGGGAGCTGGGGTTCTGGAGTCCAGGAAAAGGGATGTGCCCCAGAAAAGGGTTATACCCTGGCCCCTGTGCACTACCCCTCCCCATGTCCCCCACCCCCAGACAATCACTCACCCAGCCCGGACCGGAATGCTCCAAGCAAAAGCAGTATGGCCACAGCCTCCAGCCGCCTAGGCCCCAGGCCTGCCCTCTGGGCCATGGCCCAGGACAAGGGCCCCTGGGGAGACGCCAAAACCCAAAGAAAGGGACCTAGGACTAGTTGAGAAGCAAGATCCAGATGTTGGGCCCAGAGGGCCGGGATCCCAGAATCCGCGATGGGAAGATGGTAGCGGGTGTCCAAAGCCAACTTCGAAGGCAGGGCGCAGGCACACGGGGAGACGCTGGAGTCTTGGTGTCCACAGCTGTCCGTCAGTGAGGACACGTCCCCATCATGGTCTGGCTACGCAGAGACCTTCCTGAGCGGCAGGCAGCTCCTGGGAGAAAGGAACTTACCTGCTTGCTCCTCCCCTGGCTCCGCCCTCTCTGCTCGGGTTTGCCAGCTTCTCCAGCCTCCGAAGTCCTCAATTCCCCTAGCCCCCCAGGGTGTGTGTGTGCTCGTGCTGGGGGTTGATAAACCAGAGAGCGGCCCTAAGCAGGGCTGGACTTGAAACCCTTTGACCCCAGGTCTCTCAGGTCTCTCAGGTCTCCCAGACCAGTTATGTCCCCCAGGGCCTGGCCCAGCCTTTGTTATCTCGGGGCCACAGCCGCTCCTCCCCCCTTCCCTCCTTAGGCCCGTCTCTGAGCCTGGACACCCAGATTTGCCCCAGGCGAGGGCTGGTTCAGGCCCTTCTGTAGAGCCTGAAGCCTCTTATGAGTGTGGTCAGGTGTGGTGAGCATGTCTGGCAGTGCCAATCATCTCACAAATATTTACTGAGTGCCTACTCTGCTACTCTGTTCCAAGCACAAGAGACAAAACAGACACCGTCCCTGCCTTCCCTGAGCTCAACCGGAAGTATGAATGACTGACGTGACTCAAACAATCACACAAGCAATTATAGAATAATTTCCAACAAGGAACTGTGATGAAGGAAATTAGAATGGAGGCTCTTGGAGCCATTCACAGGAGCCTGATGTAGGGTGGCATTGAGAAGGGCTCCTCAAGGGAGTGCCTTCGGCACCGAGACCTAAAGGGATTATGAAAAGATGTTCACAGGCAAAGATGGGGGAAGAGTGGTGCATTCGCAGGTGGAGGGCACAGGTGGCACAGGTTCAGGGAAAGAAGGCCTGAGCTATGGGGTCAGGGGTCAGGGGTCAGGCACATCCCTTGTGAGTGTGAGTCTGTGGAAAATGCCCTGTTGACATTAAGCGTCAGAGAAACAACCCCGCCTCCTCACCCACCCTCAGTGTAGACTAGGTACCCGGACCTCTGGGCCAGACTTCAGGGTCCAGGCTGGGGCAGGGGTAGGGGGGTGGGCAGGGACTTCCTAGAATGGGTGAGAGGATGAGGCTGACTCTGGAAGGGGCCTAAACTGGGGAGGAGGAGGCAAGAGGCTGGGCCTTGTGGGTGTGTGTGGGTAGAGGATTGGGGAAGACATATGAGTGACTGGGTATGGGGACTAGGTGGGGATGTAGTCCCTGTGGAAATTCAGGGCAATATTCTATTTGGGACCTGGCGCTAAGGCTAAGCCTGGCTCTAAGAACCTCTGCCCATCTCCCCAGTCTCTCAGGAGAACTCCCAGCTACCCTCTAGGTCACCCCTTCCCCACCCTCTGCCTACTCAACCCAGAGATTTGACTCCAGCCCCAGAGGTGACCCTCCTGCCACCCTCATCAGCTGGCTTCCATCCCAGGGACCCCCTTCCCCAGGTCCCCGTTTGCCCTTTTTCTGTGCTCAAACATCACTTCTATGACCCTTTCCTGATCCCCAGCCAGGGGTGTTCCCCACTACATAGGAGGCACTTCGTGGGCTTATCCCCGAGACCCTTACTGTCGCAGGGGACATGCTTGAATTAGTGCAGGGAGGCACTAGTGGTGGGTGAGGTGGTGGGATGCAGACAAGGAGGGTGAGGGGGCTCAAGCCCAGGGCAGGATGTGAAAGTGCTAGACCCTTGGAGGGTACCAGTGTAGTGTGTGTACTTGGAACACTGGAGGTATACACTTTGGGACATCATTCCTCAGGTGAGTAGATGGGGGCGGCTCCCTGTGGGTACAGGACATGGGAGACAGACCCTGGACTTCCAGACTTCTGGGCCTTTCCTCCAAAGACCCTCACCCTCAGTCCTTCCTGCTCTTGGGAGCGGGGCAGCAGGGTCAGAGCTAGGGCTGAGGTGTCCAGCAGGTATTGGGGAGGCTGATTCCATTGGGGAGGTGACACACACCCAGCTGGCCACCCACCGCCCCTGCCTTGAGGCAGGAATGAGGGACAGCTGCCACGTACATTATCAGGGTCACACTTCCTGGGAGCCCAAGGCCTGACTCAGAGGCCCAGGAGGGACGGACCCTACGCCTTGGGCTTCCCTCGAGCTCCCCAGCCTGCCCTCAGCAATGCCACAAGGCCACGTGTCTGTGTTGACGTCTTTATTGTCTGCTCCTGTTGCCCCCAAGAATTCCTGGGCACAAAATAGCTGGGCACTGAGACCCAATTATCTGAAGCCACTGCAGTCCAGGTGGGTGGGGAGCTCTCAAGGTTCTGGCGAAGGGAATGAGAGCCAGTTAGGTCACATTCCAGCCCCACTGGGCGGGAAGTGGAGGGCTGGAGGGGGTGGGGGAGAATGGGAAGTGGCCCAGCGACCCAGGCCCCCTCAGCCCTGGATCAGAGGGGTCAGCAGCAGCAGGAACAGAGCAGCAGGAGAAGAGCCTGAGGCCCCAGCCATGTCCAGGGGGCAGAGGTGGCCACCTTCAGGGGGCCAGTAGGGGGAGCCACTGGGGGGTAGGAAATGGGCCTCTCCCACTGTCTGGGAGATCCAGGCCTCTTCAGGGACAATGGTGGCAAACAGCTCCTGGCTTCCTGGCACAGCCATGCCCACGAGAACCCAGAGGCCTCCTTCAGTCTGGCACAAAAGTGGAGGTGCTGAAGTCACCTGCAGAGTCAGTGCCAAGGCCAAGAGGGTCTCTTAGCCTCCCTCCTGGTTCCCTGCACCTTCTCCTAGGGATCAGCCACAAAGCCCTGCTGGTCTCCATCCTCAGGAAGCACTGCTTCCTTCCATTTGGGGCCCAGCACCCACAAACTCCAGCCCTGCTCTCTCTTCAGGGAGCCCCTCCCCTCCCTGGACCAGGATGCTTAGGCCCCTGTACCTCACACCTGTCTTCCTGCCCCTCTTCATACAGGACACAGAGGGTTCCAGGGGGCAGAATACCCTGATAGAGGCAGTGACAGAGTCGTGGTGTCAAGATGGAAACCGCAACTGCCACGGGGACTGGAAAGAGGAAAGATGGTTGTCCCAGGGCTTCTGGTCTCCAGTCACTCCTCACCCCCCAGGACCCATGGCTCTCACCTCGGTCCTGGGGGTCCTTCCAGCCCAACACCCAGCAGGTGGCCCCCAGGGGGATACCCCCTGGGTGAAGGCAGATGGACAAGGCTGAAGGGGAGGGTTCCACCCGGGAGTTCAGCTCTAGGAGGGCCAGGGCGGGCCGAAGTGCCAGATGCCGGGGCAGACGGATGCTGATGACCAACCGGGATACCTGGTGGCCCTGTGGGAGGGGGCTGGCCCCTGCCTGGCCCAGGTACACTTCAATATAAGGCACTGTTGTGGAGCCTGGCCTGTTGGAACAAGGCCCAATATCACCTTCTACCCAGTCTCCCTCCCTTCCCGCCCCTTGCTGGTCAAGTCCTTCCCAGCCCAGGGGAAAGGGTGGAGTGAATCTCCAGGGTCATTCCACTAACTCCTTCATTATTCCTCCTTCCAGATCTCTCTTCTGTCTCAAAACATGTCACAGCAGTTTCCCTATGCTGTAAGAGCCCTACAGGGAGAATGTCCCACTATTGCAAGAGTCCTTTGGCCCAGCTCCCAATTGTTCCCTCTAGCCCAGGAGATGGGTGTGACCCACCTGAGGATACAGTGAGTGGCGGCCAGGACCCAGCCAGGAGCGACCAGGATCCCAGTGCAGATTCGTTCACCAGCCACATGCACCTCTGCCAGCCAGGGCCACAGGAGCCCCAGGGGAGCGGGCTCTGGCCGCAGGCCACAGGCTAGGGAGAGGAGGTAACCACCTCAGTGGGGGCCCCACAGCTGAACCCTGAAGCCTCTACCATGGCTCTAAGCACCCACGAGAACTAAGCCCCAAAGACCTCCTTCTTACCACCATGCTCTGTGGTGGGGGGACAAGTCTGTGTCTCAGTCTCCTCTCCCTCAGGGCCCCAGTCCCAGGCCAGCTGGTCCTCTAGGTAGGCTCCCCGAGTCACATGGCTGATCCATGGACCATGAGTCTGCAGAGGGTGGAAGGCTCTGGGACGCAGGCAGCCACTATAGAAGTCTCGGATTCCAGCCAGGAACCAGGTACCCTCCTCCTGGCACAGAAGGCTCCAACTCGAGTCATTCTGCGGCAAGAGTATGTGTTACCAATGTGTGTGTGAGAGTTGATGAGAGGATATTAATGGCCCTGGGGCTTTCCTGGACCCCACAGTCTCCCGTTCTCGGACACAGGTTCTATTTCTCCAAGCCAAGCTCCAATACTAATCTGGATAAGGAGTCAGCCCTCTCTTGAGGCTTCCCTTTAAACCCAGGGGTAGGGAGAACATCCTCCAGCGCCCAGGGCCCGCCTCAGGCCCCTCCCTCCCTCAAGTCCACCAGAGTCAGGCTCCACCCCCAGCGCACTCTGGCCCCACCCCCGGAGTGCCCAGTCTAGTCCCAGCCCCCTCGGCTTCTCTCTGGGTGGACTTCGAGGCGCAGGCTCCGCCCCTGCCGCTCACCCAGCAGCGGCCCGCCTCCTCCTCCTCCCAGTAGGCGGGGCAGAGCTCGTGCGGCGGGTCCCCCGGCGGCGGCACTCTCGCCCCCTGGCGGCCGTACAGGCAGTGACACCACCAGCCGCCTAACAGCTCGGCCTCCAGCAGCGCGCTGCGGCCGGACACAGGTTCTGGGAGAGAAAAGTGAAGGAGCCCGCACTGCGGCGCCGTCGGGCTCCGCGCCACCCCGCCCCGTGCCGGGCCCCTGCTCACCGCCGCGGCCCCAGCGAGCCAGGTGGCAGCGGCTCCCAGGCAGGAAGTAGTGTTCTGGGTGCGGGAGGCACACTGGCCGCGGGGCCGCGCTCAGGTTCACGGGCGCGCGCAGTTGCAGCAGCACTAAGTCCGAGGCATCGTCCCAGGAGGCGTTCTTGTGAGGCACGAGGCGCGCCACCTGCTCTGCGCTCGGGCGCGAGGGCAGCAGCACGCGCCAGTGGTCCAGGTCGTGAGGCGGGCGGTCTGAGCCGCTGAGGCTGCAGGATGGGGAGACTGGGGACGTGGGCCGGATCCTGCACACTCCGCTGGAAACCTCACACCCCTGGCTTAGGCTCCCTATGCCAGGCTAGTATCCCGCATCCCCGGCCTGAGATCTGCGCACTCAGACCTCCCGCATCCTGGATCGAACTTACAACCCCTTTCCTCGCTCCTGATAAGCTAGGACCCCTATTTGCGAGTTGGATCCTATACCAACCAAGGAGAACAGCCCACCTGCCCTCCAATCTGAGGTATCCCCCCAACCCTTACCCCCCCCCCCCCGGGCTGGGGCCAGGTAGATAGTGGCTCAGGCCACTGGGAGGAGGGGCAAGAATCCGTCTGAGACATGGGTTTTCACTCACTCCAGAAAGCAGCTGGCAGGTGCCAAGACCCAGCTTTCAGACACCAGCGTCCCATGGCAGGGTCTGGATCCTGGCACCATCACCTGAGCCTCCCAAGGCCAGGCCCCCGGCCGCGGGGCCTTCCCACACTCTGAAGGGTGAGAAGCCTGGGTCAGGGGGGGCCCCTTGAGCCCCCAGCACTTTCCATCCCAACTCCCATGTCTAGCAGACATCTGGGGTCCTGCCACCTCACCTGGCAGGGCGATGGTGCAGTTCTCATCCATGGGCTCCCAGGGGCCTGACTGGGGCCTCTGGGACTGGATGGGAAAGGCAGGCCCAGGCTCTGAGCCCATCACCTGTTTCCGGATCCAGGCTTCATAGGGAGCCACGGCAGTGAAGACCCCAGGGCGGTTTCTCCGTCCACAGCCAAAGCCAAAGCTGGTGATTCCTGCCAGGAACCATTGGCCGCCTTCCTCACAGACCAGGGGCCCCCCAGAGTCTCCCTAATGATAAATGACTCAGCGTCAGGGGATCAGCCCAGGGACCCACTGGCTTATACTGCGCCACCTTGCAAAGGTTCTACTCTTCTTGTTGGCCCAACATACAGCCACCTTCTCCTAGGAATCTACCTGGAATGCATCATCTGTATTTCTTACAACTCTAAACAGAAGAGAGGCTTATGATGAACAGCCAAAGCCAAGAGCACCAAACTCATGCATTAAAGGCCATGCCAGAGGGGCCTGCAGGTCTCACCCAGAGCCAAAGGACTCTTATTCAATGAAGAGTTCAAATAAATGCCGTCCTGGGTTTCTAAATTCACCCACTTGTGAGAGTAAATCAGGTGTCAGCAGTTAGGATGAAGAGGCTGTTAGACATAGGGAATCTAAAGGCAGCAACAAGAGACAGTTTGAAAGCAAGTCAGAAGGAAGAACTACAGTGAACAGACACGAAAACAATGGTTCTAGGCCTTTTCATGCTTCGGAGCATTGTCCCTAAGACATCAGAGGTAGTGATACAGAGGTATGCATCCATGTCAAGCATCACTGTGATTGAACAGGGTCACAAGGAGGCTCAGAATCCTCTAGAACTGTGCTGTCCAATATGGTAGACACTAGCCACATGTGGCTATTTTAATTAAAATTAATTAAAATGAAATAAAATGTAATACCTCAGTCACACTAACCACATTTGAAATGTTCAGGAGCTGATGTGCTAGTGGCTACCGCCTCAGAGAGCATGGGGACAGGACATTCCCAGCGCTGTAGGAAGCCCTGCTGGACAGCGCCGGTCCAGAGGAATTTGAATTGTTTGCTCTCCTGTTCAAGAAGCCAGAGGATGGGCTGGCCAAGTGGCGCGTTGGTTAAGAGCTGGCTTAGGACGCCAGAGGGCCCAGGTT